GCTCAGGAAGTATAAAAGGTTTTTCCAGCTTCTGCTCTTTGAATGCATGCCTTCATAACTTTTACTTTTCCCAAAACAAAGGACAGAAATATGGTATGGTATCAAATAAAACAGGCTGAACTATCTAGCATACATAATAAAAGGTAAAGGTAAAGGTTTCCAACCAAAGAGCCATGTGGCCATGTGGCCAGCATGACTAAACACCAAGGCGCACGAAACGCTGTTACCTTCCCACCAAAGCAGTACCTATTTATCTACTCACAATTTCTTGCTTTCATAATGCCAGGCTGGCAGGAGCTTGGGCCAGAGACGGGAGCTCATTCTGTCACACAGCACTAGGGTCTCAAAACTGCCGAACTATAGACCTTCCGGTCTGCAGCTCAGCATCTTAAACTCTAAGCCACTGTGGCATACATTAATACAGGACATACATAATATTGCTCTGTAAATGCTCTGTAAAAAAATTTTAAGTCCTAAAATGGGGTTATCATTGACTTCTGACGTCCTTTTACTATTTTTTTGTTGTTCAGTCGCACAGTCGAGTCCGACTCTTCGCGACCCCATGGACCAGATCACGCCAGGCTTTCTGGTCTTCCGCCGTCCTCTGAAGTTTGCTCAACTTCATGTTCGTTGCCTCTATGACACTGTCTAACCATCTCATCCTTTGCCGTCCCCGTCTTCTTTGACCTTCAATCTTTCCCATAAATAAATCCTATTTAGATCTCCACTATGAAGCCATCACATACCTGTTACTTTTGGTCACATTCATGGCCTTGGAAATAAGGGCCAAACTGGGCAAAACAGCTGAATCACAACTAGCTCTTCTACAGGTTTTTTCCCCAAAAAACATTTAAAAGCAGCCAGGTGACATTTCTAAACTGAATAGGGGAAATGGCATTGAGTGAGATGTTGCTTCATCCCCAGCCACCTTTCACCACCTCCCTAATTTAAATCTCCTTCTCAAACTACTAGCCTGGTTGGGGTGGGGGGATACCGGTACTGTTGATGTGCCCATATCAGTGATTCCCAACCTTTTGGGTATAGCGCCCCACAAATTCAAATTTAGTTAGTACAGCTGCCCATTTTTAAAAGCAGAGCATGCACAAATCAATAAAACTGCAAAAGCCTGGGACCCACTTCCACAGGCCTCGTGACCCACAGGTTGGGAAACGCTGACCTATACAACACACACCTTGGGCCAGGACTAACAGCAGCATGGGGGGCAATTCAGATCCAGGAAACCACACAGAGGAAACAGATTTGAATCCCCTTTCTTCAGAACCATCTCCCCAATTAAAGTATTAGCTCCACTCAGCAGCTTCAAAGTTTTAAAAACATCAGTGAACCTGCCATTGGTCTCTGGTCTTTTTTAGTCCACCCCCAAGAAATCCACAGAAACAACTAGCCTGCCCACACACACCCCTTTGCACAGCTTCTTGCTTGCTTGCTCACACCCCAAGGTGATTTCCGTTTGCCACAACAAAATGGCTATTTACAAGGCTGAATGCACAAATAATGGGAAACACCCAGCAGTGAAGGACTTGCAACCGATTTGGGTAATGTGTAAAGCATCATTTGACTTTCCAAATATGGTGCCAAGAATGCTCCAAGTTAGCAACAAAACATTAATCAATCACAAGTCCTCACTGCCAATATCATGCTAACTGTGACATTTGTGTACCAGGACGAAACCAAGCCTGCAAGCAGCAGCATCAGATCTAGAGATTATTACCACCACCAATCTACTAGCCAAGACATGCAGCATCCAGGTCTTTCCACAAGCATTACTAGGCATGATCCTCAATATGATCCGTCTAAGATCTTTATAGGCCAAGGTAAGAAAGCCCAGGACTCGCCTGACCAACACAACTCAAAACCACTCTTATCAGCTAGGATATTCCACACAAATCCTTCTGTCTCTTCAGGTTCCATCAGCTATGGCTGGCACAGCAAGGAACTGATGAGTAAAACCTTGCCAACAGACTACCTATTATTTGGTCATGTAAACCATGAGGCCAAGAATGTCACTGCATAGCTAGCTGGCTTCTTACTTTTTCTATTTCATGAGGCTGTCATTTGTTTGTAGGGGCTAACAAACTAGGGCAGAGCAAAGCTTTTCCTCATAGACTGACAGACATCTTAGCACAGAACTGGCCTGCCTTCTGCTCAGCACAACTGCCTTTAATAGCTGTTACTGTTAACAGTCAGCTGACTTCCCCAAGACTCTTGCTCTATCCCCCATTCCCATCACATAAGCTACCCAATAATTCCTATGTCTTGCCAACCTTTGAGAGCTTCTTCTAAACCCACTTTCCCAATCCTAACTTCTAATGAACCCCCGGAGCTTTCCCACACCAATTCTATTTCTCATCTACAATCCCTTGCAGCCAGAGACAGAAAGGGCAGGCAACTTGCCTCTTCTGTCCCCACTACATTTTTAGATAACACCTACGAGCACTATGAAAAGGAGTCTGCAAAGATTCACATCCTCACACATCACTCAAAAATACCGGCTTTCCTTTTATACTACTACCCTTCCAGAAGAAATTCTTCTGCATCTTTTCTTCAGAATTCCCTCGCACAAACACCCACTCTCTCCAGACAAGTGTGCGCACGCAATCATATTTCTGACTGAGAGAACCAGTGTGGTGTACAGTTAAGAGTCCTGGACTAGGATCTGGGAGACCCAGGCTCAAACTTCCCACTCTGCCATGGAAGATGCTGGGTGACCTTAGGCCAGTCATGCTCACTCAGCCCAACACAATATTGGAAAGTGCCATCAAAGTGTAGCTGATTTATGGCAACCCCATAGGGTTTTCAAGGCAAGAGACAATCCGAGGTGGTTTGCTGTTGCCTGCCTCTGCATTACGACCCTGGACTTCTTCGATGGTCTCCCATCCAAATACTAACCAGGGCTGACCCTGCTTAACATCTAAGATCTGATGAGATCTAGCTAGCCTGACCATCCATGTCCAGGGCCAGCCTAACATACACCACAGGATTGTTGTGAGGATAAAATGGAGGAGAGGAGAATGATGTAAGTCACTTAGCATCCCCATTGGGGAGAAAGGCAAAATATAAAGCAAAACAAAACTAAATATTCTCAGGGCAATGTATGTGGTTCTCTTCCATTCACCCTAACAATTATAAGGGCTGCAGAGTGGCTTGCATCTACCTTTTCCAAGTCCTGCTTGTCCAGTATACTAAACACTACACACTTGCAACTCTACACAACAATCCCATCAGCATATTAGTACTCAGGAGTGACTACTACTCATCCAAATCACTAACAGGAACCAGAACCCTGCAGTCTGCTCTCAAGCATGTATTTGTTGGTGGAGAAATCAAGGCTTTTTAACCACCCTGTATGAGTGCTTAAAAACTGTGTTAGAAAATCTATCTTTACTGCCCTTCATAATCTTTATAACTGTATTGCATTTCATAGAAGTCAATTTGGGGATCCTTTTGTATCTGAAAGATGAGAAAACAATACCCATCCTTAATCCATTAAGTCTCATCTTTGATATACATCCCAGCCAGGCAAGCTATTCAGTCTAAACACCACATCTGCAAGACAACATGAGTAGGACATAAAAGACGTACTAATTGCAGTTTTCTAATCCATACCACAGTACCTTTACAGCTAAATGCAAAGATGGAAAACAGGTTGCTATAAGAGTCATTACAGCCCCTTAATCATCCCACAAAACCAGTTTTCAAAGTTGGTTATGGCCTACAAACCACCACCACAATATATTGTTTCCACATAACATCCTTTTGTCACTCCTCTAAATATATAACTTTGGTTTCCCCTCAAGAACGAACTTCTGGAAAATAACTGCATTATATTGACTGTGGAACACACAAATTTATGTCTTACAAGAACTTGTAAAGAATAAACTCCCCCCATTTCCACACATTCTGAAATGGTGCATTCCTGTAACTGTTTCTGGTCCAACAGGCTATGAGCAAAGCTAGACACAACACCAGAGAACTTGTGAATGGATGCTCCACAGGTTTCTAAAGGAGTGAAGAGTGGCTGCGTCTCTCCCAATTCAGACAAGACCACAGCAAGGCCTGGGGGTTTCTGGATACTGTCAGACAACACAGGACTGACCTTGCTAGACCAAAAACCTAACTCAACAGAAGACAGATGTGTGAACATGCACTAGACTCAGGCAAACATGCAATGCTACATTACCAGAGCCAGCAGAACAGCAGTTAGAATGCCAGACTAGCATCTGGACGACTCAGGTTCAAATCCCCATTCTACCAAGGAAGCTTGCTGGGTGACCTTGAACCCGGCACACACTTGTGAGTCTAACCTACCTCACTGTGTTCTAGCTGAGAATTTAAACTGGAGAAGAGAAGAACAAGAGGCATAAGTCACCTTTGGTCCACACTGGGGAGAAAAGCAAGGCAGATACCTAACTAAATAAGGAGGCTTCTCGTGTCTAACTCAAGAATCTAACTCAAAGCATGGCCATGAGACAGCCAACCTGCTGTAGCCATTACACTGTCAAACAAGGAGCTGGGAGGCCCAGGTTCAAATCCCCGCTTTCACCATGGAAACTTAATGGGTGACTTTCAGCCAGTCACCCACTGTCAGCCTAACCTACCACACAGGCTTGTTGTGAAAATATAAATAATGCAGGAGAAGAGACCAATGTTGTATCTTGTGAAAATATAATGCAGGAGAAGAGACCAATGTTGTACGCAGCTCTGAGTCCCCATTACGAGGAAAAAAGCAAAGTATAAAGAAGCAAATAAATAAATGGGGAAACGTGACCGGGCTCCAGCAAACACGCAGTACTACATTACGCGCCCCTATCAGAACCCAATGGCGCTTGCTTCCGAGTAAACAGCCCCCCACCTGCTGCAATTCTCCGTTTGGGACAGGAAGGCGCCCACACGTTCCCCTCCCTCCATTTAAGAAACAGTCCACGACGCACGGAAGCGGCCTGGACATCCCCCTCCCCTTCCTCTACGGGCATCCTTACCCAGCAAGACTGGGGGCCCCGGGGCCCTTCCCCCACCGCCCGGCCGCGGGTGTCGCAGACAGGAGCCGCGAGGCGAGCACAGCAACAGAAAAAGAAGGCCGGCCACGAAGAGACCGCCCTCCGCCGGGCTCGAGAGCAGCCGTTGCCGCTTCGGCAACATCACCCCCAGCTCGAGCGCCTGCAAGCCACCCACAACAGCACGCCTCGCGGCCGAAGCCTCGCTAAGGCGAAAAGCGACCGGCCGCCAGGGTAGATATATAGGAGGGTGGTGGCCAATCAACGCCTCACCGGCTGCGTCCGAGCCAATGAGAGGGGAGAGGGCGCCCAGCTGCTGCCTACTCCTCCTTTTCCCCCCGCCGGCTTCAGTGTGAGAAAAAGAGTGCGGATACATCGATTGAAAAACAAAACAACACGGGGTAGGGGAACCCGGAGACGTCCACGCGCCCTCCCTCTTTTTTTCCTGTTCTGCCGGCCAAGGAAAACTAATCGCGCATCGACTAGCGGCAGTCCTTCGGCTGCGGTACTATTTGCGAAGCGTTTTCCCCCTTCGCGTCGAGTCTCTTAAAACAACCCCGTAAGGCTGGTCAGCGTTGGTTGGAATAGTAAAATCCTGAGCGGTGGAGCAGGAAGACCCCGCATCGAGTGCCCCGCTCTACCGCTATGAATAAACGAGAGTCTTGTGGCCTTTTAAATACCAACCAAAAAAATCCAGCATAAAATTCTGCCCACTTCCAGAATCAAAGGCAAATATTAGATCTTCACTATGCAGACATTTTATGTAGGTGTATAATTTACAGCCATCATAAACCTTTGTGCACTGGAGCCAGCTTCTTTTGATGCAATAAGGGGATCTCATTGTGCAAATATGTTGAGTAGTAAGCGCGGAAAGAAAGAAAAAATTCCTGCAGGGTCAAGGAACCAAGAAATGCAGGAAGTATAAGGTAAAATGTAATAAATGACTCTGTTGTTTATGTTATTGTTGGCTGATCTAGGGTCACAATAAATTAAGTAAGAATGTAAACCTGAAATCTAGTCAACAAAAATGCAGAGATCATCTGTAAGTGGGTGAGGAACAGGGCCGGCTCCAGGGTTTTTTGTACTCTAAACGAGACCACCTTCTGGTGCCCCCCGTGCGCCCATCAATTATGGGGTTGCCAACCTCCAGGCATGGCCTGGAGAAAAGGAAGTCCAGCTGCTGAGCGTGCGCCACACAGAGAGAGAGAGTGGATCAGACTACCTCGGGAGGTGGTGGATGCTCCTGAATTCCAGGTATTTCCCAACCTAGAGATGGCAACCGTGCACAGAAACTGTGTCCATTCTTTGCTTTGATGTGGAGAGAGCGTGCACGCAGTTGGGCTTGCTGAATGTCTCTAACCCGACCTAACCTTGTGGCCACCACTGCATCCAGTGATGGTGAGTTCCGCAGGTTACTGATGCCGCGGGAGAAGAAGCCCGTTCCAATCCTAATCCACTGCCAGTCAACTGCAGGGGGTGCCTCATCATCTGCCAGTCCTAAGGGGCGGATTCAAACACTGCCACAAAAGATCTCCGCTGTGCATTGCACCTGAATGTCAAGGGCGTAGACTTTCCATTTTTGGGGGAGGGGGGCTGGGGCTGGGCCAGAGGCATTGCTAAGTCATTAAAAGAACTGGGACCCAATGACATCATAGGGAGGAGCTAGTGACATCACAGGCCATGGTCACTATCTATGGAGGTGGACCCATGTGGGATTTAGGGATGGGCTCCCCAGAAATTTAGGGAGGCCTGGGAACCGCCCTAGCAATGTCCCTGGGCTGGGCTAACCTCAGGAACAGTTGCCTTCTTAGCACACTGCTTAGAAACTTAGAAAGCCCCACACATACCCCACACTGGAATAAGAACATACTATCAGGCCATACCACATTGCAATAAAGCCCCTACAACTGTATACAGAAATACTGAGCTTCCCTACCATTTGCCACAACTAGCCCACCACACAACCAGGATCAAGACTTCTAAGTGGACCAACAGACAGGCATACACTCGTT